AACAAAATTCTGAGCAGATGCTACAGGATTTCCTTGATATCCGGTTTCTTACATATTCACCAATCGTCACTGTTGGCGCTGTTCAGCTTCAGAATATCCATAACAGAGTGGAAAAAATTCACTTTCCGTATGCTGTAAAATAAGTCTTTATTAGTAGTGCAAGTAGTTTATCTATTCTTTATCCGACTTATATATTTTATACAAATGAACAAATGGGATGGCTATATTAAAAGCAAAACAAAAAAGAAAAGTATAAGTGATATTTTACAAAAATCTCTTCTGAAGTTATATATTCTCTTTATCCACACCTATTATAATAATTAAAATTTTTAGTTTTATGTGACTGGCGAATGCCTAAGATTTCTACATGTTGATCTAAACTAATAGATGTTATAACAATCCTCAATAAAACTAAAATTTTAAGCTTTTCAACTCTTTACAGAGGAATTTTAACAAAATAAATTCATATTTTTTGCATTTTTTTATCAATTATGTTTCTGATTATTTACTTATTTTCCCTTCGTAAACATCTAATAACGGTGGTATTAACGCTTTTCGTGTCATAACTTACACCTTCAATTAAGATCCATTGGCGTTTTATCTAGCAAATCAGTATCATGAAGTGGGTGCAGTTTGCTGAAGTATCTACCTTGTTGCATTTTAATGAAGCCATACTGTCTGCGGTTTGCTATTGTAGGTGTTTTTGTTGATATGGTATAAAATTGTTAGCGTTGTAAAAAAATTCTGAAAAAAATATAAAAAAAAATATACTTTTTGATTTAAGTAAAAATAAATTTACAACTTTACTACTGTAAAAAATAAAGTCACGCGCATAATACAAAGGAATTTAAAAATGTTTCAAAATGTAAATCAACTTTGCGTGTTTTAAGCTAACAACTATATGTGGTGTTGCTGATTTTGTAAATATGTTGATAAAGTTTTATATCTACAAATTGGTTGATAGAGTCAAATCAAACAAAACGATTCAAGTTGAAAAAATAAACAACCTATGTGCTAACGAAGGGACTTTTGTCAAATACTGCACCATATATCAAAACTTACTGCACCACCATTTTGTGTACACGTTTGTCCTTTAAATCTGGGGACCTTTTATATAACTTCTTCAGTCATTTTTTAGAAAAATATAAAAATGGCATATGAATAACTCCTTTATGTTTTAGAATGTGGTTAAGTTTATTTGGAGTTTTGGAAAAAATATTAGGGTATGTTGTAGTAGTAGTAGTAGCAGTGACACCACCATTTATTATAGGATCTTAACTGCTTTTATTTATAATAGTTTTAGATTATATGAAATTTGAGAGCTTAACATTACTATTAGAAAACCTAAAGTGTATGGGATTATTGAGATAAGACCAGTTAACGTGGAGTCTTAATGGCTTTTACTTATGGAATTATATGGAAACCTTAATAAAGCGAAAAATATATATAGTCCTAGAGCTGAATATTACTATTAGAGAACTTAAGGTGTAATTGCAAATTACCATAGTAAGGCATCCAACCGGAGCTACAAAACTATTTAAGTCTTGTTCAACTGTTTCTTCGCCTCCGTCGTCCACATAGCTGCATTAGTACTCTTTCTATGCCAATTACACTTAAAGATCTCTAATAGTATAGGTGGGTATACATAAGGTGGTATATATAAGGTAACGTCGAAATTAATTGAATTTTTTTTAACCTTACTACAAGAATATCTATTATTACATATGTCGTGAAGGTAGAACCTTCATTGACATACTACCAACATTTTATGGAGAGCAGCAAAGTTATTGCGTCTCGTTCCCAATCTTCCCATCATAGAATAAACAGCTCGTACTTTCAGTTTCTATTTGTTAAGACGTGTCAAGCTACTATGATTTTAAGGTTATCTAAATCTAACCCCGTTAAAGTGATAACTCATTTATAATTCTGTATTTTTGTTTCCTTCCCTCAATACAATCTCTCAATATGAAACTTAGTCATATGCAACAGTTTCCCTAATAACAAAAGCTCTGCAAAAAGTTAAACGTGACAGAGGAACAATTTAATAAACTCATATTGCGAAAGATTTATGACGTGTCTGTTTGACGGGTGCGTTATTCAGTGGGGTCTGTAAGTTGCATAAAATGTGAATTTCCGTGCCATAGAAGTTAACTAGAATGTTAAAAAATAACAGCAATTATCACAAAAACAAATATACAAAAACAACTGGAAGTAATATGGAACACGGATTAAATTTATGACCAAATGAAAGTGTTCTGTTTTAAGGCAGGTGCATTGGCTTACATGTGAAGTGATACGAGAATAATGACTCTTGCACGGTTCAGTTTGGTTCGAGTATTCAGTAGGGCAGATTTAGGTATATGTAACTAAAATTAATAAACTTTTTTTTAAAAATTGGTTAAACTAATTAAAAGTATCAACTTATATTAGAATTATACAACTGCATGTATAAATTAAGCCTTAGTTTTCATATAAGGCAGCACCGATAAGACAGAACATTTACTATGTATAGTAATTCGACTAACAGTTTCCATATTTTCCTCCACGTTGCATACCTAAGTATTCTTGTAAAATGTATGATTTCATTCAGTTTTTTTCTACCTCTCTCTCTCTCACCCTCTCTAAGTGCCAGTCCAATCAAGGTTAGCTTGCCATAGAACACATGATGCCATTTACTTAGGTTGCGTATATCAATAGTAAGAACTAACGTAGAAATAAAAATATAGAGTTTACTCTATTAGGTACTCGTACATTAGATTTTCAAAATTATTAATTTATACACTGTATGTGTTTGATCGCTTGTAATATCTCTACGTACATTTCCATATAATTAATAAATAAATATACCAATATATTTTTTATAAAACGAATAAACTTAAACTGACAGTGTACTCTGTAGTCCTCTGCTTTATATTATATTGTCGCAATGATTTTTAAATATTCTTAATTCAGCGTTACAAAGACCTATCAACGTTAATCCGATCCAACCAAAAATACTCAATATGAATTCGTTGAAATTTATTCCGCTTTTATGTTTGATGGTATTTTCTGTTTATTTCTTTGAAAATTTTTAAATTAAATGGAAATGTGTATGGAGCAGTAGCCAAAGCCAATGCCAGTGCCCATACTGTATTTGCAGTCACATATAAAATTCATATTCAATATTACACGTACACAGGTGACGAGATTGGCAGGAGCACACGTAATACCGACAAGTATCTGAGCCTGCATGCTCGACTCCAAATGAGGGTTCGTTCGAGTGCCGTGCTTTTGCGTTGCATGAGGAATTTGGATGGCATCAGTTGTGCTGCATAATGTTAAGGATTTTGTTGGTTTTTGGTGCAACTTAAATGTAATGCAACTAACTGCCCGTACGTGTGAATTATGTGTGTGCAGTGATGCAATCATAATACCAGGGAATGTAATATTGGTCACTAGGATTTACGAGTAATGCAATATTTTGATATTTAACCATGTTTCGGCACATAACTCATATCCTTTTTCTTCGTTTTACTGCATGAACAAATGTTTCATTGGAATTTGCAATATTATCAACTCAATTGGCAGTTATGATGAAATATTCGCGTTGCTCTTTATTTTTAGAAGTAATCATTTTTGCAAACGTTATTGTTTTATTATTAATAAATAGTCTTTTTTTGGACTTTTTGGACTACTCAAAGCTCAATATTTAAATTGTGGACCGTATCCTTTGTTGTGTACGTCTTGCTTTTAGCGTTGTATATGTCAGTTTGAGTCTGTGATATCCTTATTTTTGGTGGCATATATTTTAGTCGATATGTTTGGAAGGTATTTTTTACATGTTATCAGATTATGGAAAATGGCAGAAATAATCTGTCGAAATGTTGTGGTTTTCAGTTGAGTTGATGTATTTGCAATTAAATAATTTTAATATAGAAAGGACGTGACCATGTTGTACTAAACCTGCTTATATTACTCGTTACAGGTGTTATATTTATGAAACATTCTATATAATATTGTTGATGTTTCAAAATAATTTGATTTGAGTAAATTTTTATAAAACTTCAAATAAGATGTTAAGAAATTTAAGTTAAGGATGGATATTACAGAGAATGGAAATGATAAATATGAGAATATGGACCTTAAAGCAAGATATATGAGCAGAATGCTTCACATTTGCGAGGAGATGAATAGTATTTGATTAGCTTTAATTATATTTGTATTTTATTATTATTTGTTGGTTCTGAACTTTTTGTAGTCTGGAAAACTAAGGACAGAAACATGTGCATTAGCTAGAATACTTAGTCTTATGACGTAGATTAGACAGCAAATGAAATGAAAAGTTTTTCGGGATACTAACGCGGCGCTCTGCCATTAATAGATTGCGCGGGAGTTGGTGTGGTGGAAAAAAAATGGAATATATTAATTATTTTTTATGTCTTTGTCTGAGACTACAGATAAAGTGTCTCAAGTGTTTTGGAGCCTCTTTCTTCATAATCTGACAAAAAGAACGAAAGTACACTTATCATATTTTTGAAGCTTCATTTGAAAATCAAATAGTTAAGATAATACGCAGGGATAATAACAGTTTTCTTAAACTACCTCTTTCAGGCAACTTTGAGAACACCACAATGAGCATCTTCGGCTGGAAGTATTGGCAGTTTTTCGAGCTCGCACCTTCTCAATCTAACTTGACACGGTTACTACTAATGCCACGAAAATATGGCAAAGTTTCGAAAGTTTGAGAGAGTCACATTAGAAGAGTATCAGATACTAGATTACAAAATTTATGCTAGATCTTAAAAAAACATTTTTGTCAGCCCCACATATTCATATATGATGTTTACTAAAGCTGTGCTACAGATACTTTTAACAAGTTTTCTCTGAGTAGAAAAATCTCTGGATGCTGATACTAAGCTCTGTTTTTTTCTAGTGCCTAGTTGATATAAAATCGACACTGTAGATTTTAAATAAAATTTTAATTTTATGATGCAATACAATATCACTATTAATCAAAATAAATATTTTAATTTTATAACCCTCCAAAAGTGATTGATCTGGTTTTCAAAATAGTACTCAAAATTTATTTATACATCGGCTTAATTTTAATTAATTTCGTTCCTAAACAAAGGAGTTTCAAACATTTTATTATGTCACGTTGTTATCGCTTTCTCGGCAACAGATAGTTAGTCTCATACATTAGACACTTCCATGGCAAAACCTAACAGACTAGTCTCACTCAACGATTGAATATTGTAAGTCAGTGTTTCTCTCTCTGCTCGGTTATATGTTTTTTTAAAAGACTTAATCTAGTTCTTAAATCTAAATTTTCTTCAGGTGAGTTACATTCTTCAAACATTTGCATGGCAAGAGAAAGTTCAATAGGTTTGTTATGTTCAATGGCTTCATTAATTTGATCCATTGCAGACAATTGAGCAGTCAGCTTTTGAACTTGAGCCGGCTCTTCTGGCATCTTTTTTAGCGACTTGGTGCATTTCCCATACTTCAGCTCATGCAAGCCGATCTCCAATATGTCAAGTTGCTTTTTCACATTTCGCATATTTTCCGCAATGAGTGCGTTAATTTCAGCCATAGTTAACCTAGAACTGGTGGTTTTGTTGCAGTCCTTAGAAAGGCTTACGTTACTGGTTGCTTTATCCTATGCAATTGTAATGATTTTATGTTTAATGTACAATATATAAATTATTATTAACAAAAATACTGAGAACTTTAAAAAAGACAATTAATTAGGTACAATTACCTGTTTGGGTTTGCTGCTTTTGTTCAACAAAGTATTCTGTCTACTTTCAGAAGACATTCTGACAAGAAGACATCCGCTAAGCTTCGTGATATAATTTTGTAATTTAGAATTTTGATACTAAAGAATTACTAAAACGTAAGCCAAAAGACTTTTTAATAAAACTTTATTTTTTTTCTTTACAAAATTTTTTCCATTTGTTTGACTGCAATATATGTTAACATATAAAAATCATGGACAACTAATTTTAAAAATATTTTAAATAAAATATAGAAAAATAGTACATAGAGTCTTCCTTTAACAGGTACTTTTCCTAATATAATTGGACTCAACCGGGTGTTAAATTATCTTTTTAGTTATACTTTTATACACTTACAATCTGTAGTTATTATCTATATAGATGGCTCAAAAAAAGAGAGTGAAACGAAAGTTTTTACGTACTCGAGAAACATCCATACTAACTTCCAACCACTTGCAGCGTCTTTCATGTTAAGAAATACATAATAAAAAATAAACTAAACTATTCAAGCTAGTCTAAATCGTTTTTCTCTATCACTATGTTTGTAGTCAGGCAGCCATGAAAGTAATTGAATCCAAGACAATGAAATTATTGATTGTAAGACACCATTGACGAACAGCGAATATCAGAAGGTCTCGTTTTTCTGGGTTTCACTGGGTAGGAATATTGAATAATGAATGATGAACGAGGCACATAATGACGCCAATTTATCAATATAAACCACTTAATTAGAACTTTCAAGGACTATAGAATTCATAATAACGATGTAGTACTCGCGAAGACTATAAAGTTGGCAGAATCTTAAGATCTATATTAAGCGAGAAAAAACCGAAAAGACGTTTTATCATTAGTAAGCCTGCAGTTCGTATGCCTACTATAATATTTGCAGGATACAAAGGTAAAGTATTTCGCCATAACTTCCCCACTGAACAGTAGGGTAGTTATAATGACGATCAGATAGAATCAATTAATTGCTCTTTTCCTTCACAAAGCAATTTTAATGTCTTGGAGACCGAGAGCGTTTCTTCACTGTTTTTACAGAGTGATTTAAAGTTGCCGTGGCAAATCTATTCACCTCTATCTGAAAGAATAAATGGTTTAAGAAGAACAATATCGAGAGGTAGCAACGGTTAATGTACTTCGCTTTTCATAAATATGTTCGAATAGATATGTTGGCAGTTATATCGCCATTCGTCCTCTCAATTATAGAACTACAATATCATATTTTTGTAAGGATTTTGTTTGACAAATCACACATATTGTACGTTTGTCAAGTTAATTATGATATACTATCACAACGGACTGTTGGAACTTTTTTTTCCGAATGACTTAAAATTATTACTAGTAATGAAAAACTTTTTTAAATGATGTTTAAGCCCCTTTAAAATGAACCGATTTATTCATCATGTGTTGGGGTCTTGCTACTTTTTCCGCAACTGTAATAACTCTCGATGGTGGGAATGCGTTATTGTCAATTTTGAAGGAAGAACTAATTAACTTCTTATTCTTTGAACTTTTCCTCTTATATGACTGATCTTCAGAAAGTTTAATTTTTTGGTCATACTTTTCGATCACTGTCTTTAAAAGAGCATTTGGGATAGGTGGTCTATGTTTAATATTACGTTTCACTTCATTCATCATTGCTATATTAGTAGCTGGTACTTGTATTCGGATCTTCTGTTTTTGCTTTTTTTTTGAAGCCTCAGCCATTTTTAGCTTAAGAACGTGTACATTACTCTCTAAAATCTTAACTTGTTTCTTAATAATTTTAACATTCTCTAGAATTTGCTGTATAATATCATAATTATTGTCATTTGAAGAGGTATTCTTTGTTAAGTCCATAGATATTATTGTGTTTTTTGAGGCTTCTGACTATATAACAAAGAAATTGTTTTCTTAATAATTTTTAATGCAAAAAAGTAACTAAGTACAGACTAAGTAAATATATACTAAGTAATGATATTGAATTTTTTTGACTTACGAGAACGTTTCTTATCTTTTTGCTGTTAGAAGGCATTTTGTTGAATTTTGGAAAACTATTTAGTAATTTAGATGTTTGTGAGTTATTCAATTAACATATAAAGGCCAAAAGTATTTTTATTACAATATTTAATTTTATTTTATTTATTAAAATAATTCTAAAAAAACAATATTATTTGTTTGAAAACATCCGAATCATAGCCAACTATTATTATGTAAAACTACTCGTATTATAGTTTAAGTGAAACATTTATAAATAAGGTACAATATTCATTATTTATGAAGTCAAGAACTCTTTCTTCTGTGTCTATCATCTAATGCAGTTTAAATCTGATCAGTCACTTACTCTATGACAATATGCTTCTTCATGCGGAAGATTTATATATATTTTTAATACAAGCTATTGATTTACACATAAGCCTATACTATCATAACGTTAAGCGATTATATGAACACGGGATTTTTTATAAAAAGTTTTCCCAAAACAATCTAAATAGAGCATCTATTGTTTCGTGCCTTTTCAAGAGGCAAGAAAGACTTCAGATATCATATTAATCACTTCACATTAGTTGTAATATTTGCTTAGTTAGTTATTTAATGCAACTTATTATTAATATAATAGTAATTTCAAACATAAAAATATATGGACTTACATAGAGCATTAGGTCGCTATAATACCAATAGGGAATTAAGCTTACCTTGTCAAGAGCTTTTAGTAAATCGTCGGGTTTGTATTAGAAATCTTAATATTTGCAAAATTTGAATGTTAAGACTCTAAAATTTTATAAGATAAGTTCACTACTAGCTATTGGGGGACATTAATCTGCTCGTTTAACAATCGCGTTAAGAACAGGAAGTTAGCAGATCATCAGTAAGCTTAGCAGATTAATTGTAATTGTAATAGGAGAGACTAAGTAATTGAATTAACAAATTCTTTTCTTTTCTTGAAAATATATTTCTAAAAATATACAAAATAATTTTATATTTTTTTTTAGATTTTTTTCTTGGTTTTCCAACACTACCCCATTTATTTTTAATTCCTTTCTCTGAAATAATTTCTTTTATGAGGCAAATTTTTCTAGAAATTAATTAGGTGTGCATTACAGTTTTTAAGCACAAGTACGTGTTAATTTATTTACGACTGTTTACTCCCGCTATTAACTGAAAATTGCAACATGTAAAGCAAAAATTGCATTAAAAAATTTCGCAGTAGAGTAGCTGGGAAGCCAGCTGAAATCCAAATTTGTTTGAAAACTTTTGAAATGCATTACACTAATTAGTTTATGCTCGTGTTAATTTGAGCTAATTTCGCATGCCTCGACGGGAGCACAAAGTGTTTATAGGGCTTTTGTGATCGAAAAGAAAGTGAAATTTGCGAAAACCACAACTCGGGTAAGTCAATTTTTGCTGAGGGAGTCTGGAAAGCATTTAACACTCTAGCGCTTATAAGTATTTTATTAAGAAACTGAAATAAAAGAAACTTAAGCTAGTGTAATGATTTTGAATGCAGCTATATTATAGAGATGGATGAATAGTTTTTGTAAGAGCGGAAGGAAATAAGTATATAACTTTTCGATCTAGGGTCCGACTTTTAATGACATTGTCTATTATAAAATAGATAAAGTGTTGGCAATGGCATGTTTTCTAATAAATCAGGTCTTACCATCACGCTTCAACTGCCGAAGCATTGCAGTGTCTTTCCGTCAGATATAATGGCGGTTCACTATGCAGCGAAATGGTTTCTATACAACAAGATCGCCGATGTAAATATTGTTATTTTCGCGGAGAGCCAAGCTGCTAACAAATCTCTGATAAGCATTGCAGTTACATTTCTAATAGTTGGAAATTTTCTGGCTTCTCTTAACAATCTAGCTAGACATGTTAGTATCCAACTCACATGTGTACCCGCACACAGCAACATCTCAGGCAACTGCAGAGCATATCAGCTGGCAATTAAACAGAAATATATGTGTATAACTTCCATAAATTCGACCTGCAAATTTCTACAAAATGTCAAAACTGATTTAATTCAAACTAGACTAAAAACTTACCATTCAGCTGCTTCAACTAAAGCGAAATGTGCTTAGGATATTACGGTATTGGTACTGACAGGTGATTGCGTACTAGAAACATATGCTATTAGACTGGGTTTACTTCATAATGACATTTATCGTGGTTGTGGCTCTGCAAAGGAGATGGAATCTGTGTTTCACCTTTTTTGTCAATGCCTAGCATTGAGCAATAGAAGAATAGAAATTTTCAGAGAATCTTTTTTTACAAAGACTTGTCAGAACGTTCCTATAACCTTTTGCCATCTCCTACAAAATTAGATCCGTGTCCAAGTTTATAGACTTGTCGGGTTGGTTCACTTTCAATTGAATGAGACAGTCGTGTCTTTCAGCATTGACTATTCGCTGACCATTGTGATCTTTTGGAGATTCTTGTGGAGTACATATGAACAATATTAATCCGTAGTATCACAAAGGGCCATTATTTAAGCTCAAGCGGGCTTGGGTGTGTAAGGCTGCCACTCCAACCTAATCTCACCTATGGTGATAATTTGATAGTTGTTTAGTTCCTTAACTGTAATAATGATAACTTTAGCTTTAAGCGTCCATGAAAGCAAACAAATCTTTTGCAAATCTATATAACTATAAGTGTTAGTCTGTAGTATGGAGACCAATCCAGTCATCTTCTAGAATATAATTTTTCTTTAAGATTTAAAATTTAATGAAAATATTCCTTCCTTTTTTTATAATTTCGTTGAATTTAAAATAACGATATTCAAAATTTCTATGTAAATTAAAGTAACACAAACTTTTCTATTAATTTAAATATCTTTTGTTATTATTCTACTCCCTTTCAAAATTTTTTTTTTAATTTTTTTTAGATGCTTTACTTCTTTGTTATTCGTTTTCATATAAATATGTCTGGCTTGCTCCTACATTGCCACAAAGTGACCGAAATTTTTTCACTTAAAATATTTTTAAAAAAATTTACCAGACATACGCCATGTAAGCGCTCAAACTGGCTGCTCGTTTCCTTGCTCGATTTTTATTTCCCCGTTCCGTTTGTTTGGATTGTCCTGGTTTTTACTTGGTCCTTTCGTTTTTATTTCTATTTCTATTTTCATTTTTATTTCTATTTTAGTTTCATTCTATTTTTGCTTAGTTATTTTTATAAAATCGACTTTCCTAAAGTGTGTGGCCTTGTGTAAATTTATACGATTTTTAACTCTTGCTGCCCCGACTTTTTTAGCCTACATAAATCCTTTTTCACAGCCTGTAAAGTTCTCAGGTTTTTTGCGAAGTTTATAGTTTAACAATGCGAGGAGCACAGAAGCATGAAACGACATCGACTTTAATGTAACAGACTTTTGATGAAATTTACAAAAAGTTTTTAAATTACATATTTTTTGCTTTATTTTTTTGAAATTTAAGTTACACTTATTTTTTCATATTAATTGTCTTTTGAACGTTAAATTACATTAATTATGGTCAAGTTCAAAAATAGGCTTCAGATACGATAACATTATATATATTAATTAATATTAAATAATTAAAAAATACAATACGTATAAATAAACTAATAAAAAATATATATAAGGTATATTATCAACAGCGGCACTATGCAACATCCTTATAATACAATTTCAGGTATATTTTTCAACCAGGACATAACCTTAAGAGCAGCTCAGCCTCAGGACAATTCGAGTTCGGATATAGTACTTTCGCCTGTTCTCTGAAGAACAAAAAATTGACTATGTATCCCCAAATCCACACTTTAAAAGAAACTGGAAAGTTATGATTTCCATTAATTTAGATAGCGCCGTTAAGAAAGAAGTTGCCAAACTGCTGTAGTTCGCTAAGAAACCTGCCGATCGTCTTTCAATTAGCTCACGGATCAGCATTGCACTGTTAAAAAAGAATTTGTCACACTGCCGCAGTTTCTCTTCTGTTGACACTAAAGGCTCATTTGGTCTATACTTTTGACCAAGCAAGTCACACCTAATAGTATACGAGTATCGTTATCGTAGGATTGCAGAAATTTTTCTAATAGCTCCAAACTGCATTGGTTAGCGTTTTTCAATTAATTTAGGCTGAATAGTTAATAGATACAATGTTTTTATGCTAATATTAATGTATCACTTTCATTGAGTTGTGTTAAGAACGCGAATTAACTTAATACTTACAGGAAAAAGATGTTAATGCGGTTTCTCCTATGAAATATTCGAGTTTTTAGTATAGAAAAAATATAAGGAAAACGATAAATGACGAGAAGATTTGGAAATAAGAGGAAATCTCTATAATTTATTTCCATAAAATCTATCCCATAAGATTAACTATAGTTTTGTAAACACCGTCTCGCTTTCTATTGAAATGTACATTAAGTTCCTTCCGTATATATCCAATGGACCTTGATAGAATAAGAAACTTTTTATGCGATCTAATAAAAGGCCATCTATAAAAGTATCTATTTGACGAAATTTTTCTATCTCAGTATAGAAAAAACAGTTGGGATCAAAAAAAGAAAAAAGTAATAAAGGTAGAGTAGATCTCGATAGTTAGAAGCCCTTCTTGAGCCTTTTAGATTCGAAAATAATGTAAAATAGATTATCTATTATCTCTTAAGAATAATTTTGTTCCGAAAATCAGCTATATTGTTGTGTGATGTTTTCCATTGCAGCTAAAATGTTGAACTATATATATATATATATATGTTGAATCGTTTAACTTCTAGGAGGAGCATAGGGCCCCACAAAATGTTGAATTGAAAATATTTGAAAAATTTAGTATTATTTATTTTTTATATTTATTTCATAAATGTTTTTATTTGAAGTATTGTTTTAAAGTAATAAGCATAGTAATCAAATATTTATTATGACTTATATTAAGTAATATTGCTTTACTTAAATTTGTCCAGCGCACTCCATATGATATTAATGTATAAAATCTAAATTTAAATTAACTCTGTTGTTTATATATTCCTAGAATATTAATTAATACAACAAGGTTACTAACATTTTGTGAGTATTTGTGAATGATTATGAACTATGTAAATATAGGTGTTATATACAGAATTATAAGTTAAATTAATAATTCTGAATATTCTGGTGAGTTGCACTGGTTGGTTAAATATTATAGCAATATAAAAAAAATTATATGCTAAATAATTCTTAGACTTTATCAGTAGAGTTTTTAAATATATTCCTTTCTACCCGTTGAACTAAATCGTCTTGTGTACCTTGATGGTTAGTTCCAACTATTTGCGAAGCATTACCTATTATTTGATCATTTTTATTACAGACAGAAAAAAAATGTATTGTATATACATACTCTCACGGTTACTACCATCCCCCTCCACATCCTTCTTCCACATCTCATGAGCAATTTGAATTAATCTGGTGAAACTTGTAACATTTTCGTTAAGAGTATTATCCAATTCCGGGTGTATCCTAGCGTTCGATCCAACAACTTCATTAACATAATGAGTATTATTCAATCTCGAATATAATTTCCTTGCCTAATAATAAAAAAAATATTTATATTCATTGACACATTTTTTAGTTCAATTTCTACCTGAACACGAAAAGCACGGTTAACCCTTCCATCTTGGTCCACTGGAATGGCATCGACAAATTGTACACATTGTTGCACTTCTTCAACCTTGTCATTAATTTCCAATGATTCACGTTCATTGTTAATCTCGTCACGAATTTCTTCTACGTCCATATCACTTTCACTACTTAATGTTATAAGCTCATTCTCACCTTGTTGCAGTCTTTGAACTTTTCCATTAGTTCCTAATGGATCACGTGCATTTTTAATCTTCTTGTGAACTTTTTCTTCATCCTCATCACTTTCACTGCTTAATACTATACACTTATCGTCATGTAAAGTTTTCGTTTCAGGTTCTTGCAACTCATGATCATGTTCTTTAATTACATGCTCACTAAAATTATCTACATTCTCGAACTTTTCACGACAAGTGTCACAATAAAAATCCAACCTGCCTTTGGAAACATTTATTAATATTAAACCAAAACTATCAGCCAATATTTCCATATCTTCCTCTACACGTTGTCTTTGTGCGTTGATTTCTAGCGTTCTAGCCATATTTGATCAAACTTTTTGTGATATATTATGGAATACAATTTTTTTAATCCGCGTTATGTCGAATAAAAAAAAATGACATCGATACTTATGACATCGCTTTTTGATTCTATTACAATTCTTTACACAAAACTTGACAGTTCCGCTAAAGTATTGCCCAGCGAACAGTAAAAAAATAGTATCATTCACAATAGAGTTTTGAAAATCATATATCCAAGATATAATTTATTTTTTTTTTGTTTTTTTTTTATTTGTAATCTATTATATGTAAATAATAATATGTAAATTTCATCATGTCCTTATGATAATTCGGATTATCGTCCTCCATTGAACACAATAAATACATTTATAACTTATGGATATTGTATTAAATGGGAGGTATAATACATGCAAAAGGCTCATCTAATAAAGCTATAGCTAATGGGTTCACGTGTTCGTTTAGTCTTTCAAGGTATTTTGATGTATAATTTCTTATTGCTATGAGATATCTATGAATACAGTGGTTCTTTACAAACTATCGAGTATTTATAATTAATCTAAGTGTTTTAGATTGTAATCGTTGTAATATTTCAAGATTTGAGTTACTTGTAGTAGCCCACAGCTGTATTCCATGTGTCCAGATTGGTGCAATAATCGTTTTATATAATTGGTGTTGAAAATATGGTCTTAAATATTGTCTTGCAGTATCGTTAGAAAGGGACTTGTTTTTGTAAAATCAAATAATTTTACATATGCAACGATGCACAGTTTCCTCACTTTCACATAAATTATTAAAATACCCACGTCCTTATCGATAAAAGTTCTTAATGTATTAACTTACAAAAGTTAAGTTAATTAACTTAATAAATACACAGATATGTTAAATAGATTAACTTCAATTTTATTTGAGTGTGAATGCAAAATTTTTGAATAAACACGTAACCGTGAGGAAAATTGGCATTGCAAAAGTTTCATTGCGCTTTCCTTTTGGCATTTTTTTACTCAATTTACTTGAAAATAAATGAAAATCATAGGAAAATATTATGCACTAAATATGAAAGGAAAATTTTGTGAAAATCTAAAAATTCCTTAACCCTAACACGCTCCCACATGCACATGCTTACAAATCAATTCAGAAAGCTTATTAAAATTTACACGGCCAACACGTGTTCTCGACGCATTCGCCGCTGCAAACGCATTCAGTCAACGTTTCAGCCGCAAATGAATAGCGAAGGATCATACCAAGTGCATGCACACATGTACACATACATATGTATATGTATGCATATATGAGCTGTATGTTGGTATGTTACGATATTGGTTTGTGTACAGGTGTGCAGGAGAGGGCATTCATAAAGGTCGATTTGATATAAACTGGAAATGTTGTGTACATGAGCAATTTGCACATTTTAACGGTTTTTTGTTATTGTCGTTGTTATAGAGGTTATTGTTGTTGCTGTTGTTGCTTGATTGTGATTGTTGTTGTATTCGTAGTTTCTATCGTTTGTTGTTATGTGTTACATGTTTTTACTCTTGCCGGAAAATAATAAAAAATTGTTAGTACTTTTGTGTAAAATTTTTTCTTTAAGCATTTTCACAGTCACTTTTGTTGCCTTCTGTGGTTGGAGTCAGTCACGTGAGCTCCAAGACTGACGTGTATGCATCAAAATAACGTAGCGTTAAGCTAATGTAACTTAACAGTACGTTACGTTTCATAAGCACGTAAACGTTAAAGCAGTATTAATGTAAACTATTACATATGAATATGTTCGAATTTTGTCATGTTGGCACTATCCCAGAAGGAACTATTGTGAATGACTGAGCATATCAAATATATTATAAGTAATATGAGTTCTGTTCCACAAGCTACTCGTAGTAAAACTCAAGTAAAACACAAGTAAAGGTACAAACTGAGAGCGTAATACAAGTAAGAGACAAATTACGCTCTTTACACAGATTTTCATAAAACAGCATTGTGTAATATCTGATGAGAACACCAGTGCCGCGGAAACAAACAATACAAAAATTGAAATTCAAACCAAAACAGCTGATTCACACATCAACAAAATTTTACTTGAAATAAAATGTACGAGTAAAGTCTGTGTAGCATTTTCAAATATCAACAGGGATGTTATGCTCTCTCAGATGCTTTGATTTACACGAAAATTTGCTGGTGGAACGAAGTTGTGTATACACAGAGTTACTCAAAGTTATTACAAGTAGTTTGTGGAACAGACTTATTATTTGGATAAATTTTTCATATTAATAAAAGTTTAAGCTGTCACATAAGATTATTATGATTATATGAGCAGAGAGAATATTCTAAATGAAAAACGAACTAGATTATCGAATTGAATGTTACTGGTACATTCAAATATTTTTTATTAGTTTACTTAACTTAAGTCTTCTTAATAGCATTGCTTTGATGTGATTTCCAAGGAAGACCTGTTTCCAATTCCACGCAATGTAAGAACACAAGCGCAGAGGCAAATCCAAGTTGTGCACGGAAATACGGACATAGGTTAGAACGTCATCAAGGCGGTCCATATTTTATAATTTTTTTTTTGTATAAAGTGAAAAGTGAACAAAAGAAGAACTTATGTAAATAAAAAAGCACAGAAGTTTACTGTTTATTATATTATTTAATATTTAATATAATACATTATGTTATGTATTATTATATTATTTGATTAAAGAAGAATATGTCATATCATCAAAAGTCTGATTTTATTTGCTGCACACGCCTGCCTACTAACATCTTTGCCCAGTACAAACGTGAGTCGTTCTTGACTGCGTTCAATAAGTTCCGCCTGCCAACCCGATCATTTGCTTACTGTCACTAGTTGGTTGTACCGAGTGCCTTAAAATAATTGGTCAACTGATTCTTCCTACGAAGATGCGGTCGTTCTCTACCACGTTTTTCATCATAGGTATGCATCTAATATTAGTTAGGCTAGATCAGGGCTGTTCAAAGTACGGCCCGCGGACCGCATGTACCCTGCGACTAATGTTAGTGCGGTCCGCGACATGTTTTTAATCTGCTACAATTACGCAAATTTTCTTTTGGTATACTGGTAAAACCTCTTTATTTTATTTTTACGGTATACCAAATAAATTCATTTATTGATAAATTAAGAAAACTAAATTTAACATTATAACCGTATTTATCTTATAATATATTTATATCAAAAACTATGAACGTATGTATTTGTTTCTGCGGCTCTTCAATCTGTACAGAAATTTGTCTTAGCCCGCGATCGCATTTGGTCTGGACAGCCCTGCACTAGATTATACCGGCAAACCTAGCAATATACTTAGACGTATTGGTCAATTGTATACCGTATAAGAAAATTAGAAACCGAAAAATCATCTAGTACGTTTTGAAAAGCATAAAATTCTTTTCATATAGACATTCTGAAGTCGGCCTGATCTTGATAAAAAAAGAGCTTCTAAAATAGTAAACGAGAGCTGGGCAAGATCTTTAAAAACTTTAGATCCAAGCAAAGTCAAAAGATACCGCACATATGCTTGACAGTAGCAAAGCAGATGTAAGGAACTTTCATCGTCTTCTTCACAACCGCAAAATGAATGACTAACGAGAGATTCAGTCTTTAAGTATGCTTCCTTAATAGGCTGTCAAAAAACCTACCACAAGACTGATATCTTTAAAGGGCATCTTTATGAGAGTGCTGAATTCTTGCTTAATAGAACGCGGTCAACTTGCTTATAATTGTCTGTATATCGTTAAGCCTTTCCATTGTTCACTATTATCGAATGTAAAGATAAATTTATTCCAACCGTTTTCAATAAAGCTCAATTTTGTTGCTGGGTTAGTATTTTTAACAAGAATCAAAATAAAGATTTACCTACTTCATGTGCCCTGTAAGTGGTATTCAAGGCAGCACGACCAAATTTGCTACGTATATTATTTTAATTTGTATGAGATGAGAAGCAATTCTGTCACATCCTCTGAAACAAGGATGTATCATAAGCAAATGCAGTAAAATCTCGTTGTAATATCATAAGTGTGATGATGTGTGCAGCAATCGCTTTCCTTTTGCATATTCAGGCTTCTTATTTATTTGTGGCTTACAGGCTTCTGGTGCTGGAATAATCTTTGTAGCCTTTTGAGTTCTCTCTAAGAAGATTTGCGTTGTAATGCGACGTATCAGTGGCACTTGCAATACTCATTTTATTTTAATGTGCATGAAGTTTCCAGTAAATTATATAAAATTCGTAGGCTGTTCTCGCCTTTGGCTTTTGTATCTCGCAATTACGGTACGGCAATGCAATTACAATATTTTAGGTTTGCATTGTCAGTGTAAAGCTCGAGGTGGCCTTAAAAATAAACCCAATAGTCCGTATTCGGTCTGACTGCACAATATCCTTAATGGATAAAGGGTATTGTAAATTGTAAAAAACAAATAAAAGTTTTTATTATTTCTAATAAAATTTAAAAATTCTAACTGTATGAGTTGTATTTTATTTCCTTGCAAATTTGTGGAAACACAACTAAACATGTAAAGCATGTCAAATGTACATAAATATAAGTTATAAAAAATTTGTTATATAAGTTTTATATTTTGTTTTCATGTTAAATAAAAGTTAGCACTTCATGTATAATTCCTTTTAAATCTTTTGAACGTGTTTATTACTAATTCAGTAGAACTTTACATACATGATAACCAACTAATCGCGGGATATTGCCAACTATTTATGTTGTCATTGAGTCAGAAATAAAAAACAATCTATTTCAGAAAAAATCATTTACAAATAATACTAAAGTAGTTAGTTTATGGTTAGAAAACAAGTAACATATTTAAAAGGCGGCCAGAACCATAGCAGGAGCCTAAACCAAAGGACATGATTGGTTTGAGGTGGTGCTGAAATTGCATTTCGCTCCACGCATTTTGATGGTTTTTTTAAATTTAATTGTAATAATTGTGTAAACTGCTTAATCATTAGATAAAAAAATAGTCTTTACAAAACAGTGCAATTGTTGACTGTTGAAAAAGTAAATCGGTATCTTGAGACCCAATAGGTAGTATAGGTCAAAATTTGTAAGTTTGCACATGTGTAAAAAATTTGTAAAATTTAAACAAGGAAGCGGAAAACCAAACTGTCAAAATGAATAGTTATTAAAATTTTAATTCAAAGTTACTTCAAATCATTTAATTTGCTCGTGTCTTAATTTGATAATGCCTCGAATATATTCTGGTTAAGTTTTGAATAATCTTAGAACTATTCTTCATTTTCACTATATCTTCATAAAATTTTGATCTCATATTGATTTGATCATGTGTTATTTGATAAAGACTTGATATGATCATGCTTTCATCATGACTTAATATGTCTTAATAGTGTCTTCATCATATCGTATGCATTGATTATGACTTCATCATGTCAAGATCATAGCTTCATAATGAAGTGATAACGTCTTAATAAATTTTTGCAATATTCATTTTGTTTTGATCACGTCTTGCTGATGTCTTGATGATATCTTTATTATATCTTTATTATGTCTTGATTATGTTTTGGTAACATCTTGATAACCTCTTGATAATGTCGTTTATAATGACCAAAGATTTCATAAATAATCTAAATGCAGTGCACAGCAATATCAAAGTGCTTCAGCACCATTTAAGTTACCTAAGTATTGAATACACAAACAGCGATGAAGCCTAGTCGCTGACTAACTAAAAAATTCGTAAAAATGAGCTCCTAAATTAACACATTTTATTTAATTTTATTTAAACAAAAATTTAATTACAAAATATAATACGCGTGTGCTAAATACCTTAAGACAGTCTTAACTAATGATAAGATCAATTGGGAAACAATCATTACTAAAACCTCTGAAACGAGAATATATATATTAAAGTAAATTTTTTTTATATTTCATACATCTAAAATGAAATTTGATCGATGAGTTGAACAGATCTCTTCACTTGCATATGCAGTATTTTTTCGCCTGTTTATCATTAATGCATTGTGATACGTTTTCATAAGAACTGAGACAGCTTATATCCTCGACGTTCAATTCTACACTTCTCTTTACAGGATTATATATCGCAGTAGCTTCGTAATTAGCTTTTTTTGGATATACAACAAAACGGATTCTATAAGTTGGGTTATACTGTATTCCATCATCTTCTTCCACTTTCAAGTGTGCCGTATTAATATCTTTTAATTTCAGTTCGCTGCATACCTTACTTAATGTCTTGTCTTTTAAGTAAGAATTCATTTGATCTATTATTTTTTGTGTTACATATTTTACAATTTTGTCTTTTTTGGATTGATTTTCGTAATGTGTACAAGTGCACCAATGTTCTGGTATGCCAGCATCAGCACAACTACGATTTTCTGGTACTTCACGAAAAATACTTTGACATTTTGCACAACCATTTGCGATTGGTAGACTCAGACCCGGTTCACTTAATTCTAGTATATGTTTCAGTGTCATATGTATGTCATAAGGGGACGTTAGACGATTACGATTGATTTGTAGTGCTTTAACAAAATCCGGATATTGATTCTTAAACCATTTTGGCAATGACATGTAAAATATGGGTAAGCGTTCCTCTAAAAAACCACCAGGTAGTTTCACTAACGCACCAAATCTGCTACCATGATCGCTAAGGAAAATAACTATAGTATTCTCTAAAATATCATTTGATTTGAATGTTTTGAAATATTTCAACATTTTGACATCCATTGTTGCGGATGTATCGTATCTTTCATGACTAAATGAATTTGTCCAAAACAATCCAAATGTTGGTTCATCCTTATAACGATTTGCTAATTGTAATGCATAGTCGTATATATATGTAGCATAATGTTTTCTTCCTACACAATAATATAAGTTTGCCTTTTTTTGTACTTTTAAGTTCTTTTCAATTGCTAATGTCATTGGACGCATATAGTAGTCGGTTGGTTGTTTTTTAAAACCAGCTAATATGTAGTTAAATGTACCTATTATTGCATAATCTTCAGCATATGCTGTTCGATAACTAAGCTTTTGATAATCTTGCCATATGAAATAACATTTGTCAAGTCCACCTAATCTTTCTGGTTCACAGTCTCTAAACACCACAGATTCATTATTGCCGTTTAAGAGCGCCATCAGGTTTGGAAAAGTATTGTCACCGATCTAAAAGTAAACAAAATAAATATTTTCCAATATTTTCCAAAAATTTTCCAAAATTTTTTACTCAAAGGGAATTAAAGTTTTTATGAGAGAGATATTCTCATAATTTGATTTCTGTACTAGCACTTAAGTCAAATCACTTTTTAACCTTTTCTTACCTTATTGTATCCTTGCATTTCAAACCAATCGTTTTCTTCTAAATATTGATGTGTCTGGGGCATAGTTCTGCGAAAATTCATGCGTGATAGACTGTCTATTCCTATCAGGAATACACTTGGCTTTCTTCTGGTTGTGGATGTTGTCCTCTTAGTTTTATTTTTATATTGAATGAATGAGAATGCATCCTTTTGTATGATAGTGGAATTTTTACTACATTCCACTATAATGAATTCAATATACTCGGGTACCTCAAAGTTTTGAGCAAAATTTTCACATGGCAATAATCTGACAGTGGAAAAATAAATAGAGATAGAATGGTAATAAGAATAATTTTTGTAATAACTAAGAAGAATTCCTCAACCACTCCTATTCTTAGTATATAATACAGACATTAGGAATTTTAATATAACAAAACTTACTTATAAGAATTGTCGCCTGTACCAATACGCACTATTTGACGATAGCAGCAGCTCAACTGATTTGCAGCCTCAGAGTTATTCGCGTTTTTGTACTGTGATAAGAAGGTTTCGATTTCGATGTGTAGTAGATACTTTTCCTTATTTGTGTCATATAAAACACTCACAAGTGGTTCATCATTCGTACAGTTTTTATATTTTAGTGGTTGAAATATTTTTTTTATTTTCGCACTAAAAGGATTTATGGAGGGCATATGACAGTGTGTGGTATACACAAAATATTTTTTATTCCCAATTTTTAAAGGTTTTATAGAAATGTAATGTGAATCATATTTATATGATATTGTATAATTTTTTTTTTCTAGGACTGTGTCATTATTCAAGTATAAGTATTCCCAATTGCGAAATAAAAGTAACGCTAAAAATACTAAAATCCAAAACCCAACTTTCGTCAAACAATTAAAATACTTGGATTGATTCAAAGTAGGACTTGATTCTTCGATAAACGGATTTTTTGATTTTGGCATTGCCGGTCGAATGTGCACAAAATTTTGGTGTATTTACAATAAAAATTCACTGAACGGAACGAAAAACATTTCGTTACATGTTCTTAAAAATATTAAAAAAATATGTCTATATTAATTAATAATTTAAAAATAAATACAATATTAAAGATACTTTTTATCATACAACCATAAAATCTTTTTAGCTATCTATTAAAATTATATAATTGACGTAAAATGCAATGCATTTTACCTATTCCAAAATATATATTCTATTATCTAAAATATCTATTCTATAACCATTTACACAATCACCAATCCATGCTGTCTAATTCATAATTCTAATATGGAATCCATATACAGGTATGGAAACATAATCCTTTAACGAGTGTTCCTTAAGATATTTGATATGATTCCACATTAAAAAATATGTGTTGCATCACCAAATCTTACTGATGAATATATTAACCGTGTACATCTAATATGTCTGTTCATAAGTCTCCAAGTCCACAAGACTGCATTATATAGAGCCATTCTATAAAATGTCATACTGGCAAATATTTAATAATAAAATCTGATAATTAAGCACATATGTTCACTAAACTGACTGATATATTCACTTCAGATTCTTTATGAGAAATTATAGGTTTATATCGTTCTAGAAATTCTTAAACCGAATTGCACTGAGACATTAAATAAATATAAATAGAATGCCAATTGCATTTATATGCCCCAATTCAGTGTATAGAACTCTGTATTCAATGAAAATGAAAGCTATCTTTTAATCTCGAAGACAGTTATTAGATAGCTGTCTGTAACCTTTAACACCATTTTGTTTTTGAACCCATTAAACACAATTTCAGGACTGTAGTTAATAAACTAACATATACCCAACTCGCAACCCCTTGGACAGTGATTCTTTAGTCGAAGTTATTCTTAAATGCAATGAACTATACGTTCTCTTTAGTGCCTTCTTCATGTTCTAATAACACTCGTTCTGTGGAAAGGATCCTCACAGTTATCAGCCTAAGCTTCAAATTCTCTGCTTAAAGTATGCTCCATAGTATCCATAGACTTTTATTGAAGTTAAGTACTTTTAATGGTTCTGCATTATTTCACATGAGACATAATAGTCTGGTTTTGATGGTAAGTAATTCTTCTTAAAGTATGATTGTTAAATGATATTGAAATTTAGTTTAGTGCTCACGAAAGCTGCTTGAGTGAAAATAGATGAAGTTTCAATTGCATTGGAAAGGCCAGAATTGACACCAATGAAAATGAAGCTACGAGTAATGTTTGGTAGTAATCTGAAAGTACACGTATCCATTAAAAGTTACTATTGCCAAACAATCATAAAGTAAACTATTTTAAAACAATGTCCTGAATTCATTAAAAGGAAATCTGTCATATTATACTATAATAATTCTATTATTATTATTATGTTGAAGCTATTTGACCCAGGTATTTTCAAAATCCCTCTTTATGCCTTGACTGGATTATTGTTTATCACTTTATCAGACTAAGCAATCATTGACCTTAAATCTGCATACCTCCCCGAGAAGCCTGTAACCATTCTGAGATTTGATAACGCGATGTTGGTAAGTGTGTCAGTTTTCGCAAATAATTTCAGGGCTCGATACTTTATGTATTTTTTGATGGGATCAATTTTGGGTCCCTAATAATTTTAGATCATATATATCTTAACTAATCCGACAAAAATTTATATCTTGGCTAAGAAGTTTTAATATATTCAGGACATTCATGGTCCTGATATTGCACCACCAGCTAGTCATTTATCCCACATTCTGCCATATTCTATCTAAATTCCACCATATTCTGACTTTAAATTTACTTCAAGGGGCATAGTGGGAAACTCTTGCGCTAGTCTTCGTTCATTTTTGTTATTTCTAATTAGTTATTTTAAAACTTAATAATGGAAATTACAAGACTTTGATGGGATTTATTAATATTTAAATGAAATTTATATTGTAAATTTACAAAGTATAAAGAATAAAGTTCGTATAAAGTCAAACATAATTTCAAATTTTAATTGTAGCCAAAAGTAAATTTCAAGCAAACATTAACTTCATATAAAATAATTATCTCGAGAAGAAAAGTTCAAATTAAATTAACCAAAGAGAAAACTAATAAAAAATTAATAAGAAAAGACAATGAAAGCAGACGAACGAAAAGTACAGGAAGTTGGAAAATTTTTTGAAAGGCTTGAGACCGTAAAGAGATAAGGCTGCAAAAAATTGAAAAGGAAGAAGTTGAGACTATAAACATAAAAAGAAACTTAAAAATTTTTTAAAACTGAGCACAAAGAATAATTTCAATGTCCTTTGAGATACAAAGTAAATGCATACGAAATGTTAGCTGGATATGGCATGCATTTGTGGCAATAATTAATATATTCAGGATAATTAACAAAGCATGGAACAATATGAAAGACATTATATTGCAAAGATATATATATAATAACAAATGTAATGGTTAATTTAAAAGTGAAATGTCATCAAATAAACTTATTTCACTATTTTTCTTTTCAATTTTTGTATTAAAGTTATTAAATAACTCACTCTTTGCTTATGAATGAGATAGCAAACAAATTATAATGTTTGAAAAATCTTAAAATATTAATTAAAATGGAACAAAAAATATAAATAAAATATTTGGAATTTTTATCTTAATTTATCTCTATGATTTCTTTTCACATATTCTGAAAATTCTTTTATTAATACTTCATAAACATATTTGTATATTACAAATTCTATTTGAAATTCAATACATCTGTAAACTGAGGTCAACAAAATTTATTTGTCATCAATATGTCCTTAAAATTATTAATATTGATAAATTTATTTCATTGCTCTTTAAAAATGCAAATTGTTATTTGTATTTATTTTTTATTTTAACATAAAAATTTTATTTAATGTCTTTACTACCAAGAGTTTTTATCTTTTATTATTTCTTAATATTTTATGTTACCTGTAAGCTATCCTTTCACTTCAGCACTTCACTACATATCTCATCTAATTTTATTATCATCTTAATTATTATATACTTCAATAGCTTCCTTGATACATATTGAAATATTGTAACTTAAGTCAAAACAAAAAGTATTTTGATTTTTATGACCCTGCAGTAAAAGGAACACAACGATACATTCTAAAGGACATATGCATATTCTATAAGAAATATGTTCTTTAAATAAATTAAAAAATAACAATAATAAATTATTTTTTTTCTATAGCTAACTATCTATTTCAAATAGAAGAGAGATAATAGTAAGGAAATGCCCAAGCCCAACAAAATTTTTATTTTTTAATTAACTGATTTCTTGAGCTGCCCATACAACTATTTCGGATACTGCTACATATTCATCACCAATGGTCTTTCTAGATATCTGATGACGATGCCGGTATATAAATGCAAGGTTACAAGAGTCAACATTTGAATCTAGCCAAATTTAAACCTGGATATTTAATAGTAATGAACAAAGCTAGAGAAGAAATAAATAGTAAGAAGAGCATATCATACTTACAGCATATATTGGTTGGCTAATATAGTTTTAGTAAAAATATGAAAAGCATTTATATAGAAAGATACTCAAAAAGGTGATTCAAAGGCAGTTAATTAAAAGTATTTTATATTAAATAATAAAATTTAATATTAAATTCTAAATTTAATTAAATATTTATAATTCATATAAATTAACTCTAAACAACAAAGTATTTAGGAATATAAGTTAGTGTGGAAGTCTTACTTGGGACCCCACAATATAAGAACAGAAGAAAGATATGACTGGAATGAAAGTTTTAATTGAGACATCAAATCTTACATAGGTCAACACTATATTAGAACAAAACAAACACTTAACTACAGTGGAATCTTTATATTAAAACTAAACAGGGGACACGGCTATAATGAAACAGAAAATGGACCCTGTTAGGGTTAAAGTCTTATTTGGAACACCATTATATTACAATAGGCATACTCGTACTTTCTAGGCAATAGCTAGAAAGTATGTCCTACAGGGAATATAACTACATAAAAAAAATTAATCATAAATATAGCTACAGTGAAAGTTTTACTTGACATTCCATTACATAAAAAAAGCCAGAAATACGTTTAGAGTGGGAGTCTTACTTGGAGTATTACTACATTAAAATTGCATATTCTCACTTACATAGTCTTATAGTCTTACTTGGAGTATTATTACATTAAAACTGAACTGAGTGTAAGCTAAAGTGGAACTCTTGAGATATCAGTTTATTAAGTCAGAATAGGGACATTGATCCAGTGGAAATCTTATAAAGAACACCATTGTTTTGTAACTGGCCATAAACTGGAAGATAGCTAAAGAAAAACGATAACTTGGGATACCGTTAAAGTAATATAGAAATGAACATAGCTAGAGGTTAAGTTTTTTGTAGGAACACTTACTTGAAGGATTACTATATAAAACAGCATCTATCGAGCATCATTTTACTAGTGATGTTTGTAACAGAACAAGAAGATAGGTACAATTGAAGTCTTACTTGGAACACAACTACATTAGTTCAGAACAAAGAAATAGCTAGAGTATAAGTACAACTTGAAATACTATTATATAAAACATAAAAAATATATAGCTAGAGCGTAAGTCTTATCTAAGGCATCCGTGTAGAAGATTAGTCAAGTAAGTATGATGGTTATAGGAATTGGAAGGACTCATTCTATTAACTATAATAAAGTTAAAAAACTGTGTATTGGAGTTAAGAAATAATTGGTCAATAAAGAACTAATAAAATAGAGCACCACGTCTTTCCTTATACCATCACATGTCTAAACAAGTTATTGATAAGATTATGTCCACACGCTAAGCCTACCATAGTAAAAACCATTATTATCGAGGACGAGTTATATACCTACTAAATTTTACTTCATTTAAAATTGGTTGTATTACATAAAAATTAATAACAATTATATTATATATATAAAGCTTACAGCTATGGCATTTTAGCCGTCTGCCGAAAGAGCTATACTACACAGGATCATTCCTGTAGTCAGTCTTCGTTTACTTCAAATGCAAAGTAAAACCACCTTTCAACTAAATATATTCAAATAATTTTTAAATTTTTGTAAAAGAGCTGAGCTTTCAATAATTTTT